GAAAGCTTAACGTCGAAAAGCTGCAATCACAACAGACAGCCAGCGCTTTCGCTACTCGACTCTCACACCTGCTCTCAGAGAGCACTCTTCAACAAACCGACATATGCGAGCAGTGGAACCACATTTCCCGCTCATTAAGTACCGCCGCCGAAGAAGTAGTCGGATCTCAGCGAGCCCGAAAGAACAACTGGTACGATGAGGAGTGTCAGGAAGCTGCAGAGAAAAAAGATGCCGCCTACAGGGCCATTCTGCGATCGGGCGCAACGCGTGCTATGTTGGACCGCTATAGGGATCTGAAGAGGGAAGCGAGACGTACAGTGGCTCACAGCTTATTTCGTGCAGCTGCAAAATAAAACTTTTGAACCTTATAGAAGGAAAACTAACGGCGATATCAAAAATGTTTAGATACACAATTTTTATAAAAGTATTTTTTTTATCTAAACAGGAACTTCATTTTTATATTTTTAAGTATTAGGGTTATTTATTTAACAAAAGTTTTTTGTATATATAAAATTAAGGTCACAGCTTTTTTCGTACACTGCCATCAGCTTTAGAAAAAGTTGTTTTGGAAAGTGGTTTAGTATTTGGTATGGCCTCGCTTTTGTTTAATTACATCCTTAAGACGATTTTCCATCGAGGCAACAAGTTTTTGAGTAGTTTCGCGGGGGATCTTATACCATTCCTCGACCAGAGCAGTTTTTAAATCGCTAAGATTACTAATCTGCCTTTTGCGTATCGCCAAGTCCAAAATTGCCTACAAATTTTCAATGACGTTTAAGTCGGGAGAATGTGGGGGCGGATTCATCAGATGTGGACAGTTCCATATTAGCCATGATTGCACAATCCCCGATTTGTGTTTCGGGTCATTATCTTGATAATACCGGAAACGATCGCGTACACCCAAAGCATCGGCACTTTGCAACAAATTGTCTTTCAAAAGGTTTAAGTAGACATTTTTGTCCATCGTTCCATCAATAAAAACTATGTTACCAACTCCAGAGGCAGCCATGCAAGCCCAAACCATCACACTTCCCCCACCATGCTTTACAGTTGGCTTCAAGTTTTTATTTTGAAGCTCTGTATTGGCTTTACGCCATACGTAACTC